ATCCTTCAGGTCCTCAGCAAAGATCAGCGACGCAGGTCTGTAATCCTTCAGGTCCTCAGCAAAGATCAGCGACGCAGGTCTGTGATCCTTCAGGTCCTCAGCAAAGATCAGCGATGCAGGTCTAATCCTTCAGGTCCTTAGCAAAGGGTAGGTGGACTCTCCCTTAGAGATTGGGTGAGAAGCTCAGTTATCCGGGAGAGACTCGGAGTAGAACCACTACTCCTCCACGTTGAGAGGAGCCAGTTGAGGTGGTTCGGTGAGGTAATGGTGACATTATTTACATGAATGACCCTGCCAGCTCCTTGCAGATGTTGGACACTGACTACCATGGTGCACAGATTCAGAACTGGTTGTAACCATCATACCCATCACTGCACGCTGCACTTATTGGTCAGTTGATCATCATTATCCACACAAAGGCACTCACATTGGTTCATTTTCATATAAATCACTCCTTGGTCTGCTGCCTTCATTAATCTCCTACATGTCACGTCATCTGTGCAGCTACAGCATCCCTGACCTGCAGAGAAAACTCATTTTAAGAGTCAGAGTCAGAGTTTCTTTATTGCCATTCGCACCTCATGTGGTACATGTGGTGGAGTGAAATTATGTACACAGGGTCCCAGTTACATCCAACAATAGATATGAACTAAGAAAAACATCAACTAAATATACACTAAGCACTCATAATATAAAAACATTGAACATCAGCACAAACATGAACATGAGTCTGTGTGAGCAGATGAGCATGCATGAACACGTCAACATTGAAACAGATCAGCAGCAACATGAAACAGATCAGCAGCAACATGATTTGATTTTTCACAGCGATTATTCTAGTTAGAGATTCATGAGTCTAACAGCCTCAGGGTATAAGCTGTTCCTCAGTCTAGTGGTTCTACACTTAATGCTCCTCAACCTCCTTCCTGAGGGGAGTGGGGCAAAAAGTGTGTGTGCTGGGTGAGTGTGGTCCTTCATGATGCAGGTGGCCCTCTTCCTGCATCTAGAGGTGTAGATGTCTGTGATGGTGGGGAGGCTGATTCCAACAGACTTCTGTGCAGCCTTCACCACTCTCTGCCTACTACTTGTCTACTGTCTACTTAACTGCCTGTAGTCACAATCATATTCTTTCGGTCACTACCCAGAGCTCGTGGTAATAGGTGAGGGTAGGAACGTACAAACCGGATTCCAAAAAAGTTGGGACACTAAACAAATTGTGAATAAAAACTGAATGAAATGATGTGGATATGGCAAATGTCTATTTTATTTGTAATATAACATAGATGACAGAACAAAAGTTTAATCTGAGTAAATGTAACATTTTAAAGGAAAAATATGTTGATTCAAAATTTCACAGTGTCAACAAATCCCAAAAAAGTTGGGACAAGTAGCAATAAGTGGTTGGAAAATGAAAATGAGCATATAACGAACAGCTGGAAGACCAATTAACACTAATTAAGTCAATTGACAACATGATTGGGTATAAAAAGAGCTTCTCAGAGTGTCAGTGTCTCTCAGAAGACAAGTTGGTAAGAGGATCACCAATTCCACCATTGTTGCGCAGAAAGAAAGTGCAGCAATACCAGAATGGTGTTACCCAGTGTAAAATAGCAAAGACTTTTAAGTTATCATCATCAACCATGCATAACATCATCAAAAGATTTAGAGAATCTGGAACAATCGCTGTGCGTAAGGATCAAGGCCGTAAAACTCTACTGGATGCTCGTGATCTCCGGGCCCCTAAACGTCACTGCACCTCAAACAGGAATGCCACTGTCAAGGAAATAACAGAATGGGCTCAGGAATACTTCCAGAAAGCATTGTCAGTGAACACAATCCACCGTGCCATCCGCCGTTGCCAGCTGAAACTCTACAGTGCAAAGAGGAAGCCATTTCTAAGCAAGCTCAGACGTTTGCACTGGGCCAGGGGTAATTTAAAATAGAGTGTGGCAAAATGGAAGACTGTTCTGTGGTCAGATGAGTCACAATTTGAAGTTCTTTATGGAACACTGGGTCGCCATGTCATCCGGACCAGAGAGGACAAGGATAGCCCAAGTTGTTATCAACGCTCCGTTCAGAAGCCTGCATCACTGATGGTATGGGGTTGCATGAGCGCTTGTGGCATGGGCAGCTTGCATGTCTGGAAAGGCACCATTAATGCAGAGAACTATGTTCAGGTTCTAGAACAACATATGCTCCCATCTAGACGTCATCTCTTTCAGGGAAGACCCTGCATTTTTCAACACGATAATGCCAGACCACATTCTGCAGCAATCACAACATCATGGCTACGTAGGAGAAGGATCCGGGTACTGAAATGGCCAGCCTGCAGTCCA